TTTATTTGAGCATATATATTTATTGGTATTTAGTGTCTTTAAAGTAGCCAAGCCATGATGTCCGTAACAGATATCTAAAATTCTAATAAGGTTTTATTGTTTTTGTTGGCTTTCATGTATTTGTGACCTAGTTCCCACTTATGGCATCGTTTTCCACTTGCTGTATTTGCAGAGTCTGCCTGTCTGCACGTTCAGGTAAAACTGCCCCTCAGGGTCCTGAGTGGAAGGAACAGCAACGAGAATACACATTTCCCTTTTGTTCCCGCTGTGGTGGTTTAAAATTTCAGATTCAAAATTTGGATCATAGAATCAGAATTTCCCAACCAAAAAAGATTTTGCAAGTTGTGTAGTTTATTCATTGTTTCGGGGATGGTGTGCAGCACTGCCATGTGACTCAGAACTGCCACCAACCCGACGCCAGCTGCATAACCCCCAGGCCCCCTCAGAGAATTCCTCCTTGCCCTCATTTCTAACATGTGAACAGTTTTTTCAGAATGGCCTGGATGACAGCATAAAGTTACAACTTTTTCATCATGGCTAAAAATAATTTTGTGTTTGACAAAAGCTTTTAAAAAGTTACCATCTGTTGGGGATGTAGCTCCATGGCAGTGTGCTTGTCTAGCATGTGGGACACTCTGGGTTTGATTCTTAGCATGGCAAGAAAAAATAAATAAGTAAATAATTTGATCCAGGGGAAAATCTTGCAGGAAGAATTCGTTTCTGGAGAAAATTTGCTGCTAAGAAAACAAATGACCTGTCGAAATTCCTGTTAACGCAACAGTAGTTGGAAAAGGGTAAATGCAGCTTTGAGACCGCATTGGTCTGTCATCCACAGAGGCTCCACTGCCAGCGAGCACTGAGATGCCTCAGGGTGCAGCTGAGCACCGTCCTCGGCTGGTTGTGTGCATGGAGCCACGTAGGGCTCTATGGAGAATACAGCAAGGAGGACAGTGTGCGGTGTGCAGGGTCTGCATGTCGCAGACAGCAGGACCCAGCAGAAAGGCCCTGGTGGTTTGCTCTACTTGGGTTCACAACCGTACACTTTGTGAATTGAGTGTGTTTCTCTTAAACACATCATGTGCATTGCTGCCTTATGGTAAAGTAAAATAATCATGAGAAAATAGGCTGATTTCTTATGAGATGGTTTAAAGACTTTGCTGATTTTATGTTGTACAGAAATCATGTATTTGTAGCTTGTTCTTTTATAGTAATGCTTGCTTATTATACAAACCATTTTCTATTTTTAATAATTTTGTGGAGGGAAAATACCCAGTCACGTAGTTGGAGTTTAAAAGGCATATGAGAATCCTCAAGGGTTGATTGCTCCCCGCCCCGTGGCAAGTAGTATTTAAAATGTTTGCATCAGTTTTCTCTTCACAGTATAATCCTCCTAATTCCTGGTAAAGTAGCATGATAGGATTTTGGTTTTTTTTTTCATTTTTGGACAGAAAGGACCAGAATGTTCGGGAGAGCAGTGCCTGCCTGGTCTAGGTCAGTGCCCAGTGCTGTGTGTGGGGCTTGTGAGTCTGGGCACAGTGTGGCTTACAGAGTGTCCCAGCTGCTGACACATCGTGGGGGTGTGGGCGTGGGGCGCTCCTCGCACCCTCCTGCTGTGCTGCCCTTGCTGTAGCACGAGGCCACGGTGCAGAAATTAGCTCATGCCTAGCTTGCTTTCCCTGACATTGCAGACTGTGGATGGTGTGTTTTCCCATAGGACAAAAGCATATTCTTACTCCAGTTCTGTTATTAAAGGTAAAAAAAATAACGATTTCAAAATTTGAGATTTAAATCTAGGTGATGTGATATTAAGCCATTTAAATTAAAGTTGTCAAAGTACCAGCTATGGGGGAAAAAATATTTTCTAAGGATCCACTTTAACAATGACAGCTGTCTTATGTAGGAATGGTATCTATGTGGTGTAGTGTTTCTCTTCTTAATCATAAATTTATAGTCCTGGAACCTGCAAGAGCAGCACTCAGCATTTTAAGTTAAAGCATTCTCTTCTTGCACTTTTTAATGTACATTTTTCTGAATTACAAATTTTTATACATATTTATTATGCTGAATTTGAGTCTTTTTATTATATTTCCTACTGTATCAGTCAGAATTTATGTTTTTCATATTACTTTACTGAATTCTACACTTTTTAATAGCCACACCTACATAAACTTAAAGTGACATAAAACATTAAAATTTCTACCCACAAACTTCCTATTTACTATAGGAAAAAATTAATCGAAACGTATTATTTTCTTACTATTTGTATTATTTGACTCTGAACTGTATGTCATTATTTTTTGTTTTTAACATTTTGAATTATAGAAATCTTATCTTAGATGTAATATTCTCCAAGGTAGGAATGTATACTCAGCCTTCAGCACAGTAGTCTGAATGCAGTCTTCCCAAAAATTGTATCCCACTAAAATCTCTAACAACCTTCATTTCTACTTCCCTGGACCTTATCAGGTAGCAGTGAGCAGGCACTGTCCATGCAGTTGGGCAGCACCCTACAGACTGTGCCACCGTGTGGAAGAGGAGTGAAGGTGCCAGCCAAGGGAGGGAGTTAGGGGAGTTTCCTTGGAAATAAGAGAAAGAATAGCTCTTGGGTTTCCAGAAGGGGTCACAAGAGGGCGGCCATGGAAGCCCATTGTCAGGGGTAATTTATCCAGCAACATCACAGCATTGGTACAGAGTGGGTCAGGCTACAGTCAGCCTATGGGGCCACAAGTATTAGCTGAGCTACTGTTGGTCCAGTAGGGAAACAAGTCACATAGCAGGGGTACATAGAAGCTCAAAGGGTGAAAGGATATACTTAAGAAATAAATAGTATGGAGTAGCATTATTAGTGGCATAAAATTACCTTATTTTCTTATTTGAAAGGGATTGTTTGATTAAAATATTAAATTTTTTTACTCTACTAAAAATCCATAAGCTTATAAAATGTCATTTTTAAATAAGAAATACAATTCCTGGTGAGTAACTTGAAATCGGTCCCCAAAGGTGGAGGGAGTGGTTTGTGCCAGGCGTAGTACAGTGGGGTCTGTGGAGATGGAATATTAGGTCTGTAGCCTTGAGAGGGCAGTGTGGGAGTCTTGAGCAGCAGGAGGCAGAGTGTGACCCAGCCCCATCCCAGGCCCCTGAGCGCCGCCCACCTGTGGGCGGGGGCAGAGGGTGAAGCGGGGCTGCAGCAGTAGGAGGCGACTGACTGCAGAAGCCACAGTTCTCCTGGAGTCCTGAAGGACGGAAGCTCAGTGAGCAGAGGAGAGGGGAGTGTGGCTTTTGGAGGAGGCAGATAGTAAATAAGGCAGGAAAATTTTCCCTCCCACTTTTCCTTCCTCCCCTTCCCGCTTTTCTTTTGTTCTTGTTTTTCTTTTGTTTTTTTTTTTTTTTGCAATGCTGGGGATCCAGCACAATGCTGGGGGCCTTGTGCACCAGTGAGTTACACCCCTGACATGTCTTTTCAAACTTACCTGTTTGTTTGGTATTGCTGAAGACAGGTCTGTCTGTGGCCCCGCTGTTCCCAGATACCGGCTCACGTGACCTTTGTGCCTCAGTCTCCCAAGGAGGGAGTCACAGGGCACACACAGCACCATACCCGGCTGAAGGTGTTTTGTAGGGAGAATATTGAAGAGTCCTGTTCATGGACCAGGCCCGTGAACGTTCACTGAGTCCTGTCTGTTCCTCCTCGGGAGAGCTCAGAATAGCAGGCGGAGACTCATCTGCAGATCCCCAAAGTGAACTTTACCACTGAGAACCAGCGTCCTTAACATGGGGAACCTGCCATTCCAAAGAGCTTTTGAGATCCGTGCTGGAAAAACTGTTTCCTGATTCTCAGGATAATTTGGATTGGAAAACACTGAAACCTTGTCCCGCGTGTTTTCTGTGAGACTTCTGGTAAGGGAACTGAGAAGGCAGGGGTTTTAACAGCCGTGGGGTGCATACCTTTGATCCCAGCACTCTGGGAGACTGAGGGGAAAGCACTCCAAGTTCAGACTCAGCTGGGCGACAGCGATCTAGTAAGACTTGGTTCCAGAACAGAAAAAAAAAAGGGGCTGGGATTAGCTTAGGGATTAGCTTAGTGTGAAGCCCTGAAGTGCCCTCCCCAGTACTGCAAAAATAAAACTGGGGAAAAAAGAAGGAAAGAAAAAGCAAAAAGGAAAAAAGAGAAAGCATTATCTTAGTGTGTGATGAATCTAGGAGAAGGAGATTTCTGGATGGGAGGAATATTCTGGCCTCTGGAATGTTAATAGGGTAGGGTGAAAAGGATCTGCACCAGTGGGAGAACGAACTCCCACTTCCCAAAGAAAGAACACGCAATGGGGATTTAAATGTGGATTGTGGCACTTGGGGAGGTGACAGATTTGTGCTGTGCAAACTCATGAGTCTGCTCCAAGAAAAGAAACAGAAGAAGCCAGGTGTGGTTGTGCACACCTGTAACCACCTCAGTGTTCTGGGAAGCTGAAGCAGGAGGATTGCAAGTTCAAGCCCACGCCAGGCAACTTAGCAGTTTAAAGAGACCCTGTCTCAAAATAAAACATGACAAGGGCTGAGGATGTAACTCAGTGTGAAGGCCTGGGGTTTAATACTCAGTACTAGAGAAAAACAGGAAGGGAGGGAGGGAGAAAGAAAGGAAGAAAGGGAAAGAAGGGAGGGGAGGAAAAAGGGAGATTAAACATCTGTGGTTTTCTTTCCAAGTGCCAGAGTTGTTTTGCAAAAAGTGGTTTCTCCTGATTTTCACTGCAGCAAAGCTTACCCCTGTTTTTGCTGCCCGTGGTTCTAAATGCCATCCAGGTCCCGCACGGGCTTTGTTAGAACTCTGTGTGAAGACAGAGCACGGGATTGCATCTTGGTGATCTGCCGCAGTCGGAACGACTCTAAAAGCTCTTCGGAGAAAACACCTTTGATCTTACTTATTAAATGCTTTATTTGAAAGAGCGGAACAGTCAAGCAAGAAACAGCCTCAGAGACGCAGGGTGATGGGAATGCCACCTCTCTTCCAGGGAGCCCCGGCCTGCACAGTCCAATGCTGGACCTGGAGAGCGACCCCCGCCCCTCCGTGTTGGGCCACCTCAGCCAGACGGCCTCACTGAAGAGGGGCGGCAGCTTTCAGTCTGGCCGTGACGACAGTGAGTACTGCAAAAATTGTTATTAAGCCACAAAAATAACTGCTAGTCATTTTTCCCAAGATACAATGTCCCAAATTATGACCGTGTTGCATTTCTTAACTTTCTAAAGTGCGTGTTTACCTATTACCTCCTTGCCTGTGTGAGCTAAAATGTATTGCTTATAATTCATTCATGTACCAAACAAGAGGCCATCAGTCACCGGCTGTTCATGATCTCCTCTCGGAAACACTTACAGGAAATCCAATTAGAGTAACGGAAACAGCTTACCTTATAGTTAAAGTTTAGTGCATATTCTCTGTGCAAGTGTTAGAGGGACTTTTCCTGTTTTGTTAGTGAATATGAACATCCGCTGTGAGCACGTCTCGAACGCACAGTGCACTCATGTTGAGAGCAATGCGTCCCTCCATCACTGCTGGTGCAGTGGCAGGGGACAGCCTGCTTCTGTCACACTCTCCTTCCCCACCTGCTGTGAGCATCCGTGTGACGGCTGGCGGCAGAGGAGATCCCTGAGCCTCTCTGTGCTTGGTACTGAGTCTGATGTGGACAGCCTCAGGCTCTGGCTGCAGCTTTCCTCTGTGTTCTAAAACACACTGCCTTCCCATAGATAGCAGGACAGTGTGTTGGGTATCCATTCACCACCGGAAGTTGTTGTAATAAATTGCCAAGATCCATCAGAAACTGCCATTAAGGCTGCCGGTAATGAATTACATCGTAAACAGTTCTAGTTTATCCTGCCCGGGTTGGCAAGCATCTTGGGTCTCTTTATCAAATTTTGGAAGTATTTATTAAATTTGGGGAAATTTCATCCATTATTTTCTCAAATATTTTTCTGCTTCACTGCTTCTCTGGGGCTGCAGTTCCATGTGTGTTAGACCAGTAGTTCTATACGAGTCTTAGTTACATCTCTCGCTGCTGAGACAAAATACCTGGCACCTAGACTGAAGGGAGGGAAGGGTTCTTTAGCTCGCAGTTTCAGTGCGTAGTTGGTGGGCTCCCAGGCAGATGGCATCGCAGAGGGCAGCAGGTCTTGGTGGTGGAGGATGGCAAGGTCAACAAGAAAGGAGAGGAGACTCTCTTTCTGTCCCTCATGTTGGATGCAGGCCCCCCATCCTAGGGCAGGGGTAGCAGTCGCACCCTGAGACTGAATTATCTTGCACTCTAGATTCAACCCCCTCCAAGAAGCCTGCCCCCCACAGCTACGTGAGGCCTGGGAGTACTCCAGACACAAACCATGGTAGTGTATTACTAAGACTTTTTCTTCACTCTTTTCCCCTCCCCGTTTTTTCACTCAGTGCTTTATTATCACTGCAGTCAAATGCCACGCCTTAAGCTTTTCTAATCTTTATTCTAGCCTAACCTGAAGTTGTCAGGTACTATTTCCTTGGGTTTTTGTTTGCTTCGGTGCTGGGGAATTGAACTAAGCGTGTACCCCACCCCTGAGCTAGACCTCAGCGGCTGCTTTGTTTCCCCTTCTTACTGTCTTTGTGCTTGCCTTTAAATCTGGGAGCACGGTTGTGACAGCTGTCAGTGCATGCTGGTCCTGTCACCGGCACTGTTTCTGTGCTGCAGCTGTGGACTGGCTTCCAGGTAGAGTCACAACAGATTTCTGCCTCTGCTGACACTGCCTTGCTTTGGGGTGCGTCTGCTCATTGTCGTTTCGCACACACTGCGAGTGTTCAGTGTTGAGCATCTGGGCTTTGCTGCGCTCCCTTAGAGTGCTGGCCTTTGTTTTATCATTCAGGCAGTTTAGAAAGATGATCTCAGTCGATTCTAGGCTTGCTGCTCAGCTTCGCTAGAGCAGGATTACAAAAGCCTGCATTCTGGGAACCCTGCAGCCCATGTACCAAGGCATGGTCCTTTGGTCTGTACCGAGTAGCCAAGTTCCTTCACAAGGGTGTTCTCCCTGCACGCTGAGAACTGACAAGTGTGCTGTGCTGTGGGAATTGCTGAGCTTACAGTTCCTAGTTGGTCTTGGCCTGGTGTGGGAGTATTACTCCACATGTGCATGGTGCTGTCCTTCGAAAAGACTTCAGAGGCCCCTGTGCAGGGTGCTGGGCTTTTTGTCTATATAGCACCTTCCTTTACTGAATTCTTCCCCATACATCCAGGCATCCAGCCTCTCCCAACTTCCATCTCCATCTTTCTAGCTCAGAAAGGGCCGTGAGCTGTTTCAGTTTCTCTTCCTTTTCCTCTGTCGTCCAGGCACTGCAGGCGGAAAGCCTGGGTGGTTGACAGCCTGCCCCAGGCGTCCCTTCCTCCAGTCACAGACTGTGCTGCTACTGCCAATGTTGAAACTGCTTGTGCCTGAGGGTTCTTTTGTTCTGTTTCCCTGTCCCATTTTCCAGTCCTTTATGGCTGTGGTTAAGTCTACTTCATGTTACTCCAGCAGGGCTAGAAGTGGAAGTCAAATAAATCAGTTTTAATTTCCCCAAAGCTATTGCTTGAAATTAGACATTATGAAGGATTGCTTATAGTAAACCTTAGGTGTGGATAAAGTTGAGTTGGCTCATTCTCAACTTTGTGATCAAAGCAGAATTCATGGGTCTTGCATACTTTGACTTCTGTTGGGGGTATAAGGGCATTTCTGTCATATCTCCCTAGTTTCTTTTTTCTTAAGAAATTAAGTGCTATTCTGTCAGGAACAGATCATGTGACCTTTAACTACGACAGATTTGATTCAGTAAGAAAAAAAAAATCCAGATTTATTTATTAATTATAATGATCAAAATTTGGATGAAGTAGACTTAGAAGAAATGGGGGAAGACGAGGCATTGCATACATATGTGTATTGAAAAGGGTTTGTAGGAAATAAAAAACCAAATCAAATAGGTGTAAGAGGTGTTCCCAGGGGGACCCTGCTGTCCTCCTAAACCTTGGTGACTGAGCCCCAGCATGGTAATTGTAGGATTCCTAGCGCCATAGGGTCCTCTGGCAGCACTGAGCTATCTTAGCCTTCCCCACTGTGGGGAATCATACAGAATAACTTCATCATTAACATACCATAAAAGGTTTCAGCTGAAGGAATCTTTTGGGAATTAATTTACTGTTTTCATTTAGAATTGTTTAAATAATTTTTCTATCATATTATTTCAGTTAAAATGCCTATTAATGGATTTAACAAGAAGTTTATTTTACTTCTGATTACGGTTTTTAAAAAGGGAATTTTTTCTTTTAAGTCAGTGAAAAGGCAGTATTCCTTCACTAATTGGGAGCAGGGTCTAGGGAATGATCTTTATGAAGGCGTACTTTGTGAGACCTATTTGTACATTGTATGTGTATATAGAATGTGTAGAATGTATGTGGGTGGGGAAGAGTATGTACAGGAAGTATGTATACATGGGGAGAGTATGTATACACAGGTAGAGTGTATATGCATGGATACAATGTGTGTGTACATGGGTGGGAGGAGTGTATATGTACAGGGAGAGTGTAAGTGGTACTTTGGTTCATGAACTTGATTCTTTCCATGATCCTAGTTGCAAACCAAGTTGGATGAGAACCAAATCAAATTCAGTGGTTAGGTTCAACATTGTTGTTACAGGGAAATCTGATGTGGTTCTCATCCAGTTTAGTTTGTGACCGGAATGTGGAGAGAATTGAGTCTGTGAACTGAGGCACCACCCTGTATGTGTGGGATGCGTGTGTGTACGTCGGGGGAGTGTACGTGGGTGGGAAGAGTGTACCTGCCCAAGTGGAGTGTGTGTGTGAGTGGAGTATGTATGCATGAGTAGAGTATACAAGCATGGGAAGAACGTACATGCACACATATATAGGAAGTGAGCCAGGCCACAAGAGCTGTGTTCAAATAGATTTTTATTCTTGATTCAGACATATATTCATAATGTTTTATTCTTTGCTCCTTTAGCATGGAGATATAAAACTCCACACAGGGTGGCATTTGTTGAAAAATTGACCAAGCTTGTTTTAAGCCAGCTGCCTAACTTCTGGAAACTCTGGATTTCCTATGTCAATGGAAGCCTTTTCAGTGAGGTATGTGTACAAATTGGACTGGGTGGAGCCACATTGCTACATTTCTGGTCTTGAAAATCTTAGATTTTGAGGTAATTTTTAAAAACTTAGAGGCCCAACACCTCTAACCAGTGTCGTATATTTTAAGGTGAGTTAAAAGGTTTATAAGGCCCTAATTCCTAGTAGCTGTGTGATCTTGAGCAAATTCCTTTGTTACTCTGGGACTCAGTATTCTTACCTGTGAAGAGAGTAGCATAAGGGTATCTTTCTCAGGAAGTGCCTAAAAGGAGTAAATAGACCAGCAGCTGAAGCGCGCGAGAGAGAAAATGAAGTATTTTTAAGGTTTCAGAATCAAGTACAATGCTACTCAGGCCAAACTGCAAATGAAATTTTCCTGTGATAGACTATGAATAAGTGATAAAATAAGGCGAGAATGCTGACAGCTTTTGCACAGGTCTGAAGTCATCCATAGAAAGTGGAATTCCTCAGTGGGAAGGAATTGAAAGATTGTGTAATCAGCCCACCATCTTGGCCTCCACAAGTGCTGATAAGCCTTCACATTTTCATGAGTCCTCAGTGTCTTTGCTATGATGGCCATGTTCCCAGTGCACTCCACTTTACAGTGGCGTCAAAGCATACGCATCCTGTAGAAACTGCGTCAGAGTTGCCCGTTTCCCAGGCTGCTGGTGCAGTGCTGTAACCTTCTCTTGTGCTGCTGGGTGGTGGCAGGGTGGTCCCACGCAGTGTTCTGTGGTGCTGAGGGACGAAGTCCCGCAGGCCATGTCTGTTCCGCGTCTTCTACCCGGGGTGTTTCCTGCTCATGATGAACACATCAAGACACAGCCCCCTTGTAGGTCAAGGAGCAGCAGTAATTGGTGGTGCAGAGATGTAATGGGTTGATTTTCATGTCCCACATGGTGCCGGACTCATTTCTGTCATCTCCCATTGAGCGTACTAAAGTCTATTGAGCCCTTTTCTCTGGCTGCTGCTGGTCCACCTGAAGGGTGGAGAAGATGGCACTGTTTTATCTGCTGGTCCCTGGGGGAGGCGGGGATCTTCCTGATGGCAAGAATGACTTCCTGCGTCTTTAAGCCTTGACAACACAGATAGTGGATGCTGGCTGAAATTGAATTTGTTATTTTGTGTGAAGACATGGTCTCTGCTGTGTCAGACCCCTCCTACTCAGGACAAATAGTGAGGTGTCTGGGAGTTCTAAGGTCTCCAGGGCTTCTTTTCCATGCACATAAATCCATGAGAAAATGTTCAACATCATTAGTCATTCGAGAAGTGCAAATTAAAACAACATTGAGATTCCACCTTACCCCAGTAAGAATGGCTAGCATTAAGAAATCAACCAATAACAAATGCTGGCGAGGCTGTGGAGAAATAGGAACCCTTCTCCACTGCTGGTGGGAATGCAGACTGGTGAAACCACTGTGGAAATCAGTTTGGAGATTCCTCAGAAAACTAGGTCTAGAGGTCCCATTCAACCCAGCTATTCCCCTTCTGGGTATTTTCCCAGAAGATCTAAAAACATCATATCACAATGATGTATGTGCACCTATGTTCATAGCAGCACAATTTGTAATTGCTAAATTGTGTAAGCAACCCAAATGTCCATCCACTGAGGACTGGATAAGAAAATTTTGGTGCTTTTATATAATGGAGTATTACTCAGCTATAAAGAAAGATAAACTTGAGGCCTTTATAAGTAAATGGTCACAATTAGAGACCATACTCCTAAGTGAAATAAATCAGACCTGCATGTGCAAGCACTGCACTGGCTCACTAGTGTAAAACCTGAAGGAGTTAATTTAAACTAGGAGGTATGATAGACATTGTGAAATGATAGGAAAACACTCAAGGGTAAAGGGCAACTGGGATGGGGGAAAAGAGAAGGGAAAGAAGGAGAAATGTTGTATGTATGTATATACAGGCTAGTTAACATAGTTGTTCTACTGTCTTGTATTTCTTTGCTGAAAGAAACTGTCAGTGAGTCCTTGATGGATCAATATTGTATGTCTCTGTTTTCATGGGAAACCACTTTGAAGATATCAATATGTAATACAACAAGCATTGTTAATTTCCTACCACTTTGTTTGTAACTCTGTGTGGTCTGTACCGTTCTTTTGCTATTTTGTAAAAGGTTGTCTGTCTGTTAATGTTTTCCTCCTTTTATTTAAAAAAAAAAAAAAAAATCCATGCCAGTAGCAAAGACATGGAGTTGTGCTCTGCAGCATGGGGCAGGGGATGCAGGAAGTAGTAGAAGCAAAGTGCTGCAAGGGTCTGGCAGATGAGGGGTTTGTTCTTGTGTAGAACTGAATTTATTCCCAGGCGAGGCGGGCCTCAGTGGAAGAACCTTTGCCTAGCACACATGAGGGCTCCGAACTGGGTAAAGAAAAAATCTAGTGTTTGAAATCTTTTTGCCTGTCACATAATAGGTGTTCAAGGAACAAAGCTGAATAGAAAAATACTCATGAGGTGTACCGGAATAGAGCTGAGTGGGATCAGGGTAGCCCCTGGGAAATGGAGTTTAATAAGCCATGTCATCCTTTTCAGCTAAGTGCTGCTGCTTCTCCTTTGGATCACTTCCTGTAGGTGATCCATCCCAGGTGGACAGGAGTTGCTTTGAGTCTTTTCAGAGTCAAAACTCCTAAGAGTTTTTGATCTGGCATATCTTAGTGAAGAGGGAATGTATTTTCCTTCCTTCTAGGTTGTACCTACTTACGTTAAAAATTTGTATATGATATATATAGATGAAAAATAAATGACCCACTTTAGATCTCATGGACAATAATGCTGTTAAAATGAAAAAAAAAAGTTTAAATTATTCTACTGAGGTGGAGATGCCTATGCTATTTCTACCAACTTACATTTGTAATCTTTTTTTCAAAGTTTATGATAATAATTATTAAGTGTATAATTCATGCTGCAGATCTAGGCGTGCTTTAAGATTATTTATCCTCTACTGGAGAGCTCAAAAGACACGGGAGGGAAGGAGATAGCAGAGGGTGGAAGAGTTGAAAGTGTGCCTCTCATTGCAAACCTATAAGTAAAACCCAGAAACATAATTAAATTAATGTTGGGAAGAGCCCTGGGCTTTTTGATAGTTGATATTTAATTTCATACAAAAGAGCTTTCAGTAAACACAATTTACTTAACATTTCTTTTGATAGAACCATCTTGTATTATTAACTGTTTGTCCGTTAAAGAATTAAATGAAATTTCCAACAGTTTAAAAAATAGTCAGTTCTTTAAACCAGCAAGGACCATGTAAAGTAACCTGTGAATCAAAACAGTGAAATCTAGCCGTTGGTTTTACCACAAAAGAGTTTTGGTCTGTGTGTGCAGGAAAAAGTTAAGGTTTTTAGTTGACGAAATGGTTAATAATAAAGATCTCACCTTTAGATATGTCATAAATATTAGTGCATTTTTGAACAAAAATCTTTAAACATCCAAATCATTGTTAAACATTAGAAATCAACATTTTAAAAAGGTGCATGACTCATGTAAATCAAAATGTACCATTGTTTGGGAAATTGTAGAGCAAACCTTAGGTAATTTTTTATGTTTGTGATGTTTAACTCCTATCCGATGAAACTGGCAAGTAATTTTTTATTAACAAGTGGAGGGAGCATACTGTGCACCTCACTTTTCTCCCCCCTCCACTTTGCCTGTTTTGGAAACAGGTGTCTGAACTTTATAAAATTGTTGGCCAGTAGGTGTCATCGTACTTTCCTGAGAAGTCTGTTCTGTAGACAAAATTGTTCTGGCAAAACGTAGCCTAGGTTTCCGAAACGGACACAGGAGCGCATATATGCATACTCACGTGTGCACGCACAACCCCGCAAACTCCCCCCCACCCGTACAGTGTTCAGCTGTTGTATTTTGGAGGATACAGTAGAGAAGACACCCTGTGACAGTCCAGACATAGACAGTCACACAGTGGCACGTCCCTCCTCTGTAGTGCATCTCACAGTTCCCGAGAGCAGCTTGCTCCAGAGAAACGGAAGTGAACACGTGCCTGAGGAGATGCATGTGCACAAACTGGCCCACACAGTCCCAGAACCTGCCAAGTCCCTAGTCAGTGAGTCTGCAGGATGAGATGTGAGGCCTGCTAACGTAAGTTCCAGTCTGATGCCAGCAAGCTCAGGGTACAAGAGGAGCAGATGTTCCAGTGCAGGTACAAAGGCAGGTAGAGGTGAACCAAACCCAGTGTCCCCACATGGAGGTGTTCAGACAGAAGTGTCTCCTCTTAGTCAAAAAGAACAGCCGCCTTGTGTTCTGCTCAGGCCTTCAGTGGAGGGGGTGAGGTCCATCGCAGTCAGGAGCACCATCCGCTTTAGTCAGCTTTCTGATGTCAGCGTGCAGTCACCCAGCAGTATGCACATGTAGGGCAGTGTTTGACCAGATGTCCAGGTGGTCTGTAGCCATATCACACTGACACGCAAAAGCAGCCGTGCCAAAGCCCCTGAAGCGTTGGCAGTTCCAGTTCGGTGTCCCGGTTCTCCGGGCAGTCCAGTAGGTGCTGGGCAGCTCAGTAGCTCCCGTTTCACACCCGGCAACTCCCAGCCTTCTCATAGATGCTAGGATCTCGGTTGATGAGTGCACACCTCAAGGGAGCTGAGCCTGGTGAGCTTTTTATAGGCTGTACCTGGTGGGGCTCTTTTCAGGCCAGTCTGTGGTGTTGGGACCCAGGACTTCCAAAATTTCTATAACAGCCCTGAATTCAGGGAGGTTGTGCTTTGTGAAATATGCTCTGGATAGTCCTGAGGAACTGAAGCCTGGGTGATTATCTATTCACCAACATTACTGAATACCCCCAAGTCCCCACGTGCCAGCTACTGATTCTCTCCCTCTCGTACACTCACAACATATAGATACATCTCATACATGGCGTACACATTGTAATTGCATGTGTACACATATGCGCATGTTTGTGTGTAATACATGTGTACACCCATATACATATATTCATAGGCATGCATACTGTACATGTGTAAATATATTCTAAAATACAGATATTATTGGGAAGAGAATTAGGTAAGCCTGGTGCTCTGCCCTTCTAGAGACAGAACCAAAGTAGACTTTTAAAAAGTCATCCTGATGCTGGGCATGGTGGTGCACACCTGTAAACCCAGCCGAGGATTGGGAGGCCGAGGCAGGAGGATTGCCTTGAATTCGAGGCCAGCCTGGGCTACAAAGTGAATTCAAAGCCGACTTGACCTGTATAGTGAGACCTGACTCAAAAAAGACACAAAAGAAAGAAAAAAAAGTCATCCTTGCCTGGCAAGTATGAGGTCATGAGTTCAATTCCTGGAACCAGACAAAAAAAGTCATCCTGAATTCAGAGACAGCTCTGAAAGGAACAGGTATGGCCCTGCAGTAAAGAATATCCTCAGTGGCTGGAGGGGGCAGAGGGCTCTGCGGATAATATTTCAGCTGCCACCTGGCACAGGAGAAGGAAGCGACCATATCAGGCACATGCACAAGTGAAAAACAATAAAAAACCAACTACACATCACCTGCTAGCTTATACACTATATGAGAGTTTATAGATGTGTATATGGATACGGGTATATGCACACACTGAACATTACTTATATTTTAAAGTTAACATGAAGTCAGTATCGTTACCATTTATAATGTGGCAAGTCTTAAATTGAAAGGTGTCTTGACATGTTCTTAACTTTATATATCTGAGGATTTTACTTTTTTTTTTTTTTTTTGAGACAGCATCTCACTGTGTAGTCCAGGCTGGCCTTGAGTTCATTATGGAGTTCAGGCTGGCCTCAAACTCAGGGCACTCCTCCTGCCTCAGCCGCCCAAGTGCTGAGATGACAGGCATGTGCCACCATGCCCAGTGAGGGTTTTAATTTTAAGGGATAACTTTTCATTACATCAGTGAAGTGTCAGACTTGTACATAGTGTAATTTTGTTATTGTTTCTTTAGAAAGTTTCCTAAGTTTGGCCTTTTGTGGTGTTTTATATAATAATATTTACTTGTTTCTAAAAGCTAACTGAAATCCAGTTGAATAGATTTCTCTTTTAATCAGTGTAGTCTTCCATAAATTAGAGGAATAGAAAATATGAGCTATATTTGTAAACAAAAGATTTATTCATACAGTATATTCTCTTTTAAATTGTTTGTAAGACTCCTAAAAGAAGAACAGTGATTCATAATTTTAAATGATAAAATGACATCGGTAATGCTTCTGAGTATTTACCAAGGGGCTGCACGGGTACTGTAGGGTCACTATACACTAACTCAGAGTTGTGTTGTTTCTGTGCTGGTCATAAGGAATTGATAAGAATGTCTGAGGGAGCTGCATTGTGTTAGCCACGTGGGATTATTGATGGAAACAGCATGTGGGGAATTTGTCTAGAGCACTAGTAATTTCAACCTAATTCTTAGGCTCCCTTATGGGAATTGTATTGCAAGGTTTTAGAAAGATAAATGACTTCTTGCTAGAATAAGAAATATTTTCTTTTTTTTTCTTTTTTTGGTTTTTCTCCGGTACCGGGAACCGAACTCACGACCTTGCACTTGCCAGGCAGGAGCTTTTGCCGCTGAGCTAAATCCCCAGTCCCTAAGAAATATTTTCTAATTAATCTATAATAAAAACTTCTGTTATTTCTTAAGTGCTCCATTTACTCAGGTTATATTTCCTGTTCTCATGGCAACTGCTGATGCATTTCTCATTTTTCTGGATTATTTCTACAAGATGGCTAATATGTTTTATTTTGCTTTTTAATTTTTCAGACTGCTGAGAAGTCAGGGCAGATTGAAAGGTCAAAGAATGTAAGGCAGAGGCAAAGTGATTTCAAGGTGAGTGAGGGAGGTGTGCTGAGTCCCCTCCGCAGCGTGACCCACCCAAAATGAGAGAAGAGGCAGAGCCTTCACCCTCCAGCTCCACCGCCCTGAGCGTGGCTCCATTGACCTTTTGCAGAAGATGATTCAGGAAGTCACGCAGGCCCTGGTGAAGCTGCTGCGTGGTGCCCTGCTGCCCCTCAGCATGCGGGAGGCCGAGGCCCGGCAGTACGGGGGCTGGGAGGTGAGGGCCGAGCTCTCGGGCCAGTGGCTCACACATGTCATCCAGACCCTGCGGTGAGTCCTCAGGAGCATCGCTCCTTTTGCTTGGGGGTGGGGTACACCCATCATGGGACGTACTGTTTAATACAGGCCAGAAGAGGAAATACTCCTTCCTGCCCCCTGTCCGCGGCCCCCACCACTTCTCACGGGTCACCTGGTAGCACAGCTCTTGCACATCCTGGTGTGGAGGTCACGTGTGCAGCTCCTTACCACTATTGTTGGTGTCACCGTCATAGCTGTGTCTGTCCTTGCCACAATCTCCTGCGCCCTGTTCTTGGCTCGCACTTGGGGTTGGAAGCATGGCTCCTGTCTGCTCACTTGGCGTCTTGGGTTTGCATTCCAGGCTCACTTACGAGTCTCTGACTGCCCTCGAGATCCCTAACGACGTGCTGCAGGCTGTGCAGGACCTCATTCTGGACCTGCGCGTCCGCTGCGTGATGGTCACCTTGCAGCACACGGCAGAAGGTGAGTGAGGAGCTGCGCCACCTCCCCGGCTTCCAGGTCTTTAAAACTTAGAGGAAACTACTCCTCTGAGAATTTAAGTATTTAGTGCCTTTCATTTCTACCTACTCACCAGAAGGTTTTTTCGATACTGCTTTTTGATATCCTCTAAAAGAAACAATAACAAGTTGAGATATAAGACAGTGCGGACATTAAGGTGGATACACCTGAAAATTCTTCAAAATATAAGTAGAAAATGTAGAATATAAAATGTATATAAATTACGCACCCATTTAAAAATGTGTATATTTTTAAAATCTTAATTTAGAAAAAGCATTCTAAAATTAGAAGACCAATAGCAGTGGTTCTCTGGATACTAGAAAGTATAGATGCTTCTCATTTTCTTTGAACTTTTTAAACTTTTAAGGATTTCCTACATAAATCATAAGCGGTAAGGATTACCTTCATAAATCAGCTTGTTGGGTATTATTTCCAAAGACGATCAAGAACATTGTTCGAAATGGCATGTGCTGTTACTGTCTGCTGCCAGGCTTCTTCCTGGAGGCGGTCGACTGGCTGCAGACGTGCTGGTTAATGCTCAGTGTACCTGGGAAAGGGTGGGGTCCCGGGGAGAGCCGAGGCCCGCTCTGGCAGCGGCCTCCCTTCAGCCACCTGAAAGTCAGCTTGCTGCCGGCAGGACTCTGGTAGAGCCTGTAGACAGATCCCAGGCATTACCCGGACATTTTAGGGGGAAACACTGCAGGGCTGTTATGAACCTGTCTAGCGTTATGAAGAACCCCCAGTAAGTGCTCTTGTCTCAAGTTGTTCCTGTGCCTAGTCTGCAATTCTCAAATTGGACAACGCAGTAAAAATTTTTATTTTCATTAATGTTTTACTGGAAAAATTCAGTGAATAATTCATATTTAAATCCTCAATGGACTAGAATTATATTCTTATCCCTGCACTCACCAAATTTTTATGAACCTATATAAAATAATTAAAAACTATAACCTTTAGATTTTTATCTCTGTAAAGTACAATGAGATAATGGTAATAAAAAGTACTGGTTTGTTTTCCTTGTAGAAATAAAACGATTAGCTGAAAAAGAGGACTGGATTGTCGATAATGAAGGGCTGACTTCCCTCGTAAGTTGAAATTCTTCTGATTAGTATTTGTGTTTACTGCACCTGAAGCCCATGACTTGTTACATTCATAAGGGCTATCTGCTCTGTGCATTGGAACCTGTAAGTAGTTTCTGTAAATTTAAAACAGAAGCTTCTTGAAGTTTCTCTCCTCAGAGTTATTTTTGTTTAATCACAGGTATTTAAAAATTAGTGAAAACAGTGGGTTTCTTTTCAATTATGCTTAACTCCATACTGCTGAGCAACTTGAAATTCTTAGAAAAACCTGGAAGGAATGCTGCTGCTGACCCCTGAGATAAAATGAAACAGACAGAAGCAAGAGGCTCTGCAGATGCATCGCAGGCTGGAGGCAGCTGAGCCTCAGATCCCTTCCTTGCAGTCACCGCCTCTTTAGTTTTCATGATTTCTGCTGTTCCCACCCCGGTGGGCAGCCCCCCAGCAATCCCAGGGAGACTGTGTTGGTGAGATTGGCCCTGGCTGTACAGGCTGTGGTTCCCTTATTCCCTCTTGCTGACCTTCCAGGCCTTTCCCTTCTCTGGGACCCCGTGCACTGGTCACTCAAGGCCACCTGCCTTGCCAGGCAAAGGTCAGGCTCTGTCCAGGGACCCAGCGCTGACCACAGTCCCCAGGCGAAGTGGCCAGAATCCTCCTGTGTGTCCACATCCCCAGCTGCAGAGGCAAGGAGTGCAGATCTGAGCAGTTGGAGCAGGTGGTGTTTCCTCTTTCCGCTTGTCCTTAGCAAGATGGGAAAAAATACTTTCTGGGGAGAGAACTTCTAGTTCCCACCTAGGTAAGGAGACAAAAGTAAAATGTTTTGGCCGCCCAGGTGCACCAAACAGGGACGGCCTGGGCTGTCAGGGAGCAGAGTCCCCACCTGGTGGCTGTTGTTCTCCGTGGACTTCCCAACTTTTTTCTTGGGGGTGAGGGTGCTGCTCCACTCTTCCCTAGTTCAAGGCTCTCCTGACTGTAAATGTATGCAAATACAGGCTGCTTTCAGTGGCAGTGTAGGTTAGAAAAGAGTTTCTGTAAATACAGTTATGCTGTTAATGTGTTAAGAAAGATTATTGTTTTTAATAAATCCATTAATATATTTTAAAGCATTTTTTAAAAAAGTTTGATTGGCTCTGTTCTGTTAGTCACTGTTACTGGTATTTGTATGACAACCTTGCCAGAACTGACTCACCTCCTTCCAAGTCTTTATAGAAAGGTGTGCAGCACCCAGTGGGGCAGCTTGAAACGCACGCACAGACGGCGCGTAAAACATTGCAACTTCTTATAAGGGTTATGTGTCGACATCTTAAAGTCTGGACATACTGCATTACGTAAATTATATTAAGATTAACATTCTGTACTTGGTAATGTGGTTTACTGGAAGACCTAAAGTTGCGTCCGTGGCCATGCATGTGGCTCCCATCACACCCCTGCTGGCAGTGCTGGCTGCAGGAGAGTGTGCTGCGCCCCTGGATTAGCCTGTCCCAAGCAGCCTGTGCCACCCAAGCCCTCGCTCTCATTCAGATGCAGGAGCCCAGCACTTCCTGCCAGGGCCCTGGGTTAAGATTAAGTGAGATATTGTAGATTTAAAGCACTTTGTAGGGGCTGGGAATTTAGCTCAGCGGCAAAGCGCCTGCCTGGCAAGCGCAAGGTTGTGAGTTCGGTTCCCGGTACCGGAGAAAAACCAAAAAAATAAAAATAAAAATAAAGCACTTTGTAAACCGCAAATCTTTGGACAAATTTACAGGACTTTTATTTGTTAAATTAATATTTATAATGGCTGGAGTCCACGTTATTATTTAAGTTTACATAATTCCTAACTACATTTTTAAAGCTCTTTCATACAGCTTTATTGTGATTGTTGTAGTGAACTTGAAAGATAGACCAGAGGGGTGATTAGACCATTATCCACTGAGTGATGTGCTGCAAATGACTTGGACGTGAGCAGATCAGACATCAAGTCACCTTAGCACCTCGTGTTTGACGCTTGCCGCACTGTAGCTTTTGCCATGTTCCATTTGAGAAAATAGTCTCTGTTGCCAAGGTTTTTTATTTCATTAAAACTAAAAAAGCTGGCTACAAAGTCAATACTAGGGCATAAAATAGATCCTGGCTCTCCATCCCTCTTTGGGGCTGTGCTCCTGGCGCACATGGTGGCCGAATCCCAGCGCTTCGGGCTTTGCTCTGGCAAGGTGGCCCAGAGGGTCACGCAGAAGCTTGCTGTGGTCCACTTCCCACACCGCGGGCAGACTGACTCCCTTAGTGCCACTGTAACAGGAAGTGGCTGGTTTCTTTTTACCCGTGCTGCATACGAGCCCCATAAGCATGTGCAGGGAAGGGAGGAAGGGAGGAAGGAAGGAAGGAAGGACGGGTGGATGGATGGATGGACGGACTAGAGCCTTGGGCTCGTGAGTGAACAACCACTGTTCCCTGTGTTGGGAGCCAGGCAAGACATGTTGGAGTTGAGTGTCTCCCACGAAAGGCGCTGACATGTTGGCCTCGATAGTGCTAACTCGGTTCTCCTGGCCACTCATACCCGCCTCTCTTAGGAGAATAGGTGAGTCAACACGTCGCACACAGTCTAGATTCCAGCTTTGAGTAATTCAGCCCAGTGTGTGTAAGAGTCTGAGACTCTGAACAGGGCTTACATTGCACCATAGCCTCCAATTTACATTTCCTCACATTTCCACAGTGCCGATCCCGTGTGCTCGCTTCCTTCCCCGTGGCTGGGACAGAGAACCCTTCTCGAGGTGTCACTGAACCATGGTGTCAGGTTAGGACTTCACTGCATTCTTCCTAAGCAGCTCATTTGAAAGCATCCTGTTTTCTTCTCAGGTTGAATATGATCTCTGCTTTTTTTTCATTTTGGATAATTCTGAGAATTTCTTCTTTCAAAAGAATTGGAATGGTTTGTGATAACTTCTCACAGTCAGCCAAGTCGGATGATTCACTGACAGCACAGAGATAGTACTGTTTCCTAGCTTTCAGAGCAAAGACAGAGAGTTTTGAGACTGTCATTTATTCCCAGTTTAACTGAAACTGCTGCCTGAGCTGTCGGAGATTCCTGTCCGTTTGTTTACTACTCTAGGTGTAAATAGTAAGGCAGTCTCGTTCAGATCTTAGCAGAAGACGTCTGGGTGCACACACAGGGTGAATGCATGTTGAACCTGCCCCGTAGGCTCATCTACATATGCCCGATATTATGATTATTGTCATTCTGACGTCGTTATGTTTTTGAGCCTGCCACAGTAGGTAGGTCAGATGGATAAGGTCAGTCATCTAAGATCTTCTGTATGTTGGTCCCAGCACAGGGCCTTGTGCACGGTGGACGTTCGCAAAGACACTGGCTCTGTAGATGCCTTCTGTGCAGTGAGTGTCTCATCCTGTACTCCCTACCTCTCCTTGTTTGTACTTCGGCTCTTAAATATTCTTTGTGGTGCTTTCTGGTGGTTTCAAATTGCAGTGATAAAAATACAGTGAAGCTGAGGCACTATTTTCACTTTCATTAAGTCACGGCTCCTTTCTAAAAAATAAACTTGTCTCTATCCATCTATACGCCTACATGTGTTTGCATACATATATATTGATGGATGTATGTGCTATCAGTTCTTTCTTTTTGTTAGTTATTTCTCCCCCCAAAAAATCTTTGAAGGGTTGTGATGTGGTGTGAATATTGAGGAGAGAGAGGCTCAGCAGCGCAGCTTTGGAACTTGGGTCCCTCCTAGCTGTGGCCTAACATGGGCCCTGCCCCATCCCTGGCCCTTGACCCAGCCCCAGTTGCATGAAATTGCACTGAGCTCTGTGATGTCCCGGCCTCCTCCTCTGCCCTCAGCAGTGCTGTGCCGCTGTCCTCCTGAGCAGCTTGTGTCCTGCCCTGTTGGTGGGGGGCAGCTGCTCTTATGCCGCCAGCTCGGCCTCTGGTCTCGGAGGCCCTCTGGCCATGCTGGTTAGGGCAGAACCACCCCC